AGCTGACCACTGTGTGAACATACTGTCAAGCTATTTAAGCCTTGGTCTGATCCAGCTGGACACTTCTTACATTGTTGCGAATGGACTTTTTTAGCAGCACATATGGACTACACCTTTATCCCCAATGAATGAAAGAAATAGCACTCCCTAGAAGACTGGCTTTCTGATCCCAGTTCTAACTTTTCTGTGAAAAAAAAACAGCCTTCATTCCAATTCCAGGCCTAAATCTGCCCTTTGGTGGGAAAGGAAAGGCTTTCCCACCAAAGGGCAGATTTATCCATGTAGGCTAGTTCCCATTCCATTTTCATGAGTCCCTTCTCCCACTTTCACAGGTCCTGTCTTGATCATTCTTAGCACTGAATTAAGATAAAATATCATTCTAGCTTTCAACTGTGTACACAACATGCAACTTTCATCTTATGAACAATGCCACTCACCAACTGATTTATCTGCCATGCCAACATCTCTTGAAGTCCAGCGGCAAAAGCCACAAGCCAGATAGTAAGCCTTCTTCATTGTAGTCTTTGCTGGATCATCAGGGAGAGGAGCAGGGATGCTTGTTGCTCGTGTAGAGAGTGTGTGCATACAGCATGGGCAATCAAAACAGTTAGCACACCTGAATGAGAATATTCCAGTATGAAATTCTATATTAGTTTATTTATTCATCTCATTTATAGGCTACCTTTCTCCTAATAAGGACACTCAAGGCAGTGATATATTAGTGATATACACTTCAGTGCTTTAACTTGGGAGTTCAAGTGTCTTGATGCTGTGCTTTATAAATTAGAAACTGTAGAACAATTTGTATTAGAAATATTCATTAAGAAAGACAGCACTTGAAAAAAATCACTCCAAAATATGCAGGGGATTTGCCTTTGTGAAAATGGCAGAAAAGCTGCTACAGGTAAACTTTCAATTCTGCATACAAAAATGAAAAACATCAAGCATCCTGAAGCATTTACACATGAGGAAAAAATCAATAACCAAAATTTATGTCAGAACAATCTGAAGAATAACATTCAAAAGCTGTACCACATTATCTATGTACATTCATTAAAAAAATCACACCAAATACATCAGGAAAGCAAATGAATAGCCTTATATTCAAGTGTGAGCTATGATAACTTTTATAGAGCACAGTCAGATTTGCAATAAGCAAAAGCGAATACAAGCAGAGGGCAAACACACAAAGGGAAATGACTCATCCCAATGAGTCTGTACTGGAAGTAAAATTCAATGGCAAGAATACTCAAAATTATTTCATCCTCTTAATAAGGTACAGTATTAGAAATGAAACAAATGTGCAAATAGGTTATACGAAGACAAGAGCACAAAGGAAGGAAAGGGAATTTCAGGCCCCATATGTAATCTTACCTATTCTTCTTCAACTTGGCTTCAGCTGATGGCATATTTTCCAAGCAACTGGGGCAGTAGTGAGAATCCACCTAAAGAAAAGCCAAAACAAAACAAAAGGCTTCTTCACTCTTGGGCATTAGGTAAGAACTAATTTTGCATACATCATCATGACCAAATCAGACATAACCAAAATATATACAGCTGGCACTACCAGCCACCATAGAAACATGGGCACCCAGATTCAGAACTAACTCCATGAACACATCCAAAATGAGAACTTGAATTTTCAGGTGGAGGCATTGTCTTATTCCAATATATCAAACTTGAGACAGTGCCATTTTCAATATCTTCACTCAAAGTAAGCCCAATACTGAGTCTATGGCAAATATGTGCAGAACTGCAGCCTAAACACTAACAAAGTCTGGGCATTATTCATTGCTGTTCTCCTCTCTTTTCCACATAGGTAAAATAATGTGAGTGGCAAAAAATACAACTGAGATATCAATGTCTTTCTGTATAACATATAGAAAGAACGATAACCAAGTTGATTCATAAGAACAAAGCAATATCCACAAACAAGAAATATATTTATTATGACTAACAATTCCATTACATTGTGTATACTTTCCATCTCTCCAGAACTTTCAGTCTGCTAGATGGAAAATGGGTGGTTGGTAAGTACAGAAATGTGGCTACACGTTAAAGCCATTATGTTTGTGGTTAAAAGTACTACCTGCTATGGATTTTGCTTTTTGGAACAAAAATGCTCATATAATAAAACCCTGTTTATCTTGTGATGTCCTAGCCTCCTTAAGGAGCGATTAGCAGAGAGTTCGACAGGCTACTTACCCAAGACCTCAGCAGTGCATAGTATAAGCCCTTTGAACAAGTCTGACCTTATAAGAACACTTTACTTTTACCCATTACTTTGCAAGTGCAGATAGATACATGGGTTTTGTGATTCCTTAGAACTCACAACAGCTCAGTTAGGTAGGACTCTTAAAGATAGCTAGTTTGTGGCCCTCTCCACCTCCTGGATTTAGCCAGACCCTGCTGTTCAAGAGACCAGTCCTTTTGTAAGAATTTTTATAATTACCATATTTGATAGAGTGAGGCGAAATCCTCTGATGGCGGCAGAAAGGATTGAAAACAAGTGTCATTTCTCCTGGGTTGTGTGGAGAAATAAACCGGGGGAACTTAGGGTGCGCCACAGTGGCCCTCTCCACCTCCTGGATTTAGCCAGACTCTGCTGTTCAAGATACCAGTCCTTTTGTAAAATTTTTATAATTAATTTTTATTAGAAAAATAAAGTTTCATAGAATCAGTTTATATTATATTAAGCTTTAGCATAAAGAACATATTCAAAGATTATTACAATTAAATAACTATTTCCCATTAAAATAATAGACACTACTAAGCTGGGCTAAGGTGAGCTACAGTGGGCTAGCCCCACCTCCTTTCTTTTTTACTTATATCCTCTCTCAATCTAGTTCCTTCCTCTCCCTTCATCAATCATGGAATCTAACTGCAGAACAAAACTGAATCTCTCCTCCTCCTTCAAGCCACATGCTCAAACCATCATCCATTTTCTACACTCTCTCACGCCTCCCTTCTTCTTGACAATTCTGACTGTTAGCCAGTTAGCCTCAAGGGGTAGTAATACTTTCCTCCTCCCTTGATTCCCATGAAAGTCAGGTGTTTTATTTCTTCTACAATTAGCTCAGAATGCTGAGTCTTCCACAGGCCCCTTGATTGGACCTTCAGCTCTATCTCGAACCATGCTGTACAGATCTTCAGAAAAAACATTCTCATGGCACTTAGAAAAACACATTCCAATGTCTCTCAAATCATCTACACACAGAACCTGTCTGACTCCATCTTACATTTCTTTGACTACATATCTCATACTGCTTCATATCCATCACATATCTAAATGAATAGGAGGAGACCCTATGTGAGACATGATATAGTTTTTTAAAGCATAACATGAACTTGAGCAATTAGAAGATGGGAACTACGGACTATTCAGACTGACACCAATCTTGGGAAAATTCTGGAAGAGATTATAAAACAAATGAGGTATCCCAGGGCTCAGTCCTAGGTCCAGTGCTCTTCAACATTTTTATTAATGACCTGGATCAAGGGGCGCAGAGAATGTTAATCAAATTTGCAGATGACACAAAACTGAGTGGAATAGCTAATACCCTGGAAGACAAGAAACAAAATTCAAAATGATCTAGATAGGCTTGAGCACTGGGCTGAGAACAACATAATGAAATTCAACAGGGATAAATGCAAAGTACTGCAACTAAGGAAAAGAAACCAAACACACAACTACAAGATGGGAGATACCTGACTCAGCAATACTATGAATGAGAGAAGGATCTAGGAATTGTCATATATCATAAGCTGAATCTGAGCCAACACTATGATGTGGTTACAAAAAAAGGCTAATGCTATTTTAGGCTGCATTAACAGAAGTATTGTCTCCAAATCTTGTAAAGTACTAGTTCCCCTCTACTTTGCACTGGTTAGGCCTCATCTTGAGTACCGTATCCAGTTCTGGACACCACACTTCAAGAAGGATTCCAACAAATTGGAACAAGTTCAGAGGAGGGCAACAAGGATGATCGGGGGGGGGGGGCTTGAAACAAAGCCCCATGAGGAATGACTGAAAAAACATGTTTAGCCTTGAGAAAAGAAGACTAAGAGGAGATACAATAGCACTTTTCAAATACTGTACTTGAAAGACTATCATACAGAGGAGGGGCAGGATCTGTTTTCAATCATCCCCAAGTAACATGCAAAAATAGGCTCAAGTTAGAGGAAGCCAAATTTCAGTTGAATACCAGAACAAACTTTCTGTTAGAGCAGTATGGCAATGAAATCAATTACTTTGAAAGGTGGTGAGTGCTCCTTTAAAACTCCTTCATTTTTCCTTTTTAAAAATCCTAAATGCCAAAGAAGGGCCTACTGTGCTTATGTCTTGTCAAGTTGTTTCTGATTTATGGCAACACTAAGAGATGCTGGAGTATGTGACAGGTTTCAAGAGTGGTCCACCATGCTTTACAAGATCAATGTAAAAGTTCCATGTCTATTCTTCTTAGATGGAAATGCCCTGTCAAAGAAAAGCACTCCTACCCACAAATCTTTAAAAAACAACAGAAACACAGTATTCATCATAACTGGAAAATTCATCTGAACCAAACTGGATTGGTCCTCTTAAGGAATTGACATATGGTACATAAGCAAAATTTCCCCAAAGGTTTACAGTGAACAATAAATGGTTAAATCCTGTTGTCAATTTTGCCCTAGCAAAGAAGATGGCATTTCCAGGAGGGTGCTGCCCTTTTACATCCCACAGCTATGCGAGCAGCATTATACAGTGACTCAGGAGGATGCATGCCTCCTGCTGAAATCACCCGCATTGCTTTTGAACAGGACATTTAGTAGCAGCATCTACATCAAACTGCTGAATAGCAAACAATTCACAAAGAATGATAGACCATTTCTTAATAGATATTCCCTCCTCACTTTTGTTCTTTGTCAAGTACAGTATTTCCTACTCACATATTAAAGAATTCTTGACATACAAATTGTGTAGAATTCTCCATTTACTTTTTCACAGAGGTCCCCATGAACACATGATTCATGTCCCAATTACAAAATGGGTGTTATTAGTGGTGACTACTCACAAAATGTTGGCTGTGGGAGCAGCACTCCCCATGCATGCCTGGGGCCCCTCCCTCCCTCCCTGCCTGAAAGAGAGAGAGAAAACATGCAGACAATATACATCGAAGCATCACACACACAAACGGTGTTCCCCATTGCCCTCTGCAAGAGGGTAAACATGACTAGATAGAAATAACTGAAACTTGGTGGGATGACTCCCATGACTGGAAGGGTATAAATTGTTCAAAACTGAAGGATATACATTGTTCAAAAAACCCAGAAAGAAGAGAAAGGGAGATGGAGTTGAAGTATATGTAAAAAATACACATTCCTGCACAGAAATACAGGAGGAAAAGATTTGCTGTCCCATTAAGTGAATCTGGATGAATACATTTGGGGCAAAAAACGAAAGGAGCATGGTAGTTTGAGTCTACTACTGACCACCCAATCAAGGAGAGGATGCAGATGAAACTTTTCAAAAACACATTGCAAGGCCTTAAAGAGACACAGTGTAGTAGTGATGGGAGATTTCAATTATCCTGATATCTGTTGGGAGGCAAATTCTGCCAAGTATGGCCCTTCCAAGAAGTTCCTGACATGTGTGGCTGGTAATTTCCTCCAAAAAAAGTGTAGAAAGAAACTAGAGGAATAGCTACACTTGACTTTATTCTAACCAATAGAAATGGCTTGATGGAAGAAGTGGCAGTAAGAGGAACTCTGAGAGGTCTACTAATATTCTCAGTTTCAAAGGAAACGAAAGCAAAGTGTAGCCATATATTTATGCTGGATTTTTAAAAAAAACAGTTTTAATAAACTTAGAACAAGGATAACTTAGAACAAGGTCTCATGGCATGAGATCCTAACAAGAAAAGGATCCCAAGAAGCATAGGAGTTTCTATATAAGGAAATTCTAAAGACCCCTCTCCAAACAATTCCAACAAGAAAAAAAAAGATGGAAGACAGCCAAAAAAAAAAAGGCCAGTGTGGCTTCACAAAAAGCTCATGAAGGATCCGAAAACAAAAAAGGACATGTATAGGAAGTTGGTAAAGAAGGCTGGACCACAAAGGAAGAGTACAGACAAGTAGCAAGGAAGTGAAAGGATAACATTAGGAGAGCAAAAGCTGAGAATGAGCTGAGGTTAGCTAGAGACACTAAAAGCAACAAAAAAGCATTCTTTAGGTGTGTCATAGCAAAGGACAAAAAAGGAATAGCGGCTCAGCTACTCAATGGAAATGGAAAAATGATAAGACAACAAAGAAAAGGCAGAAGTGCTCAATTCCTATTTTAGCTCAGTCTTTTCCCAAAGGACAGACAACGACCTTCAAGACAATTGTGAAGTGCAAGTGGAAGGGACAGGATTGCAGCTAGAGATTGATAAGCAAATAGTCAAGAAATATATTCGCGAAGGCTTTCATGGCGGGGGTCCAATGGTTCTTGTGGGGTTTTGGGGCTCTTTGGTCGTGTTCTGAAGGTTGTTCTTCCTAACGTTAGCGCCACTCCTGTCCTCTGAAGATGCCAGCCACAGAGACTGGCAAAATGTTGGGAAGAACAACCTTCAAAACAAGGCCAAAGAGCCCGAAAAACTCACAACAACCATTAGATCCCAGCCATGAAAGCCTTTGTGAATACAAACAAACAAACCCTGATAAACTACAAAATGTTGGGCTGCAAACCATATCCTATGAGGAAAGACTGAAACAACTGAGCATGTTTAGCCTTGAGAAAAGAAGACTGAGGGGAGATATGTTCACACTTTTCAAACACGTGAAAGGTACTCATATCTTTGTTCTCAATCATCCCAGAGAGCAGGACACGCAACATTGGACTCAAGTTACAGGAAGCCAGATTTGGGCTGAATATCAGGAAAAATTTCCTAACTTTTAAAACAGTATGGCAGTGAAATTAATTACTTTGAGAGGTGGTGAATACTCCAACACAGGAGACATTCAAGAGAAATTTAGACAACCACCTAGCACATATCCTTTGATTTGTATTCCTGCACTGAACAGGAGGTTGGACCTGATGGCCTTATAGGCCCCTTCCAACTTCATTATTCTATGATTTTACATGTGACGGATAGCTGTCTAGTTTTTGTTTCGAATGCCTCCAGTGTTGGCCCACTCACCGCTTCCCGAGGAGCTGGTTCTGTCCTCGTACTGCTCCAACACTTCGGACGCTGCTTTGTCCTTCCCCTTGCTCAGTCTCAGCGCCTCCACAAGTGGCATTCAGCAGCATATTGCATGTACCCCTCAATGTAGTACACAGTCAACAATAGCTTTACCCTCAATGTCTAATTCCCTCTCTAAAGCCATCCAACGTGGAAGCCATTATCTAGGTGAATTCCACAGTTTGACTAGGTGTTGTGTAAAGTAGTACCACATTTCAGATTCATTGTATTAACACAGAACATACTTTTATGAGGGAGAAAGCTATCTTCTTAACTATTAGTATACGGAAGTGCCACATTGTAACCATAACTGATTTGGTGCCTTGGAGATGGCAAATCATTTTTAAAACCGAGGGCAACAACATCAATCACCATACACATTCAAGCAAGATGAAGACTGAAAATGACATTTTGTATTACATAAAAAGCAAGCAAAAAGAGGGTAGGACTAAATGCAGCGGTTCCACTATAACAGGACCTGAGAATGCCTGGGCAGATACAGTTTTCCAGTTCCTGCAACAATGTGTTATGTGCATTCAAGTCAGAACCAACTTACATCAACCCTAATAGGGCTTTCAAGATAAATGAGAAATTTAAAGGAGTGGTTCTATGAATTCCATCCCCCCTGGATGGGGATCTGAATCCAGGTTTCCTGAGTCCTGGTCTGTCCCTCTATCAACTATACTGCACTGGATGATCTCATATAAATAGGATCACAGCTCCACCATGCACCACTACTGAGGAAATGGAAGGGTAATTACAGATTACTTTGTGGACATAACTCTCCTTCTCAAGAGCAGAGCAAATGACAAGGTTCCTATCACCATAACAGGATGCTATGCGAAGCAACTGAGTATTTGGGAAAGGGTCCCCATAAGCTTGAATAACATGGTTTACATAAGAGTTATGTCAATGTAATAATACTGGGAGCAGAGATTCTTTGCAGATTAGAGGGGAACGGGAAGAATTTATTAAATTAAAATGGCCATTTAAAAAAAGCACACTTGGGTAATATCGCTAATACATTTTTTAAAAAAAAGGTTACAAGGAAGCTTTTCAGAACGCTTCCATTAAGGCGGCGCTGCAAAACTTGGGAATGGAGAGTTCTTTTTAAAATGCAAATGAAGATGCTACAGGCATCCCTTTGCCCTAAACCCAGCCTAGCTGCCGAGGTCCAGGATGACAATCCCATTTCACTCCATATTGTCCAATAAAGCGAGAAACAACACTGACAGAACGGCACGCGCTCCAATCAAGACACCAAGGCTCGAAAGCCACGCACAGGAACCAATCAGAGCAGCGCCTGAAAAAAAAATCTCTGCTAGCCAACCGGATAAACAAGAATAGTGAGCGGCACCTCCAGCGGCCAATAGGCACTCGAGAAGCGTGCTGCGGTCCTCCCTTGTTCTCCTGCCGCTTTCTCCCGCCCCGCCCGCTCCTCTCACCCCCCCCGCACCGGTTTACCTCATGAGAGACGCACTCGAGGGACCGCAGCTCGCTGCAGTAACGGCAGAAGTAGAGTTGCGAGAGCGGCATTCGGATGTCCTTTTCGCCGCGCACCAAGTACAAGACACGCTCAGACTGTAGCAGCGAAGCCATCTTACAAAGAAAGGACCAGACCAGCCTCTTCTCTCAGCTACCGCCGCACCCTGCCCTCTCTACTTCCGGCACGTGACCCGGAAGCAGTTAAAAAACCCTCCTTCTCTGGAGCCACGTGGGCCCGCTGAGTGGGCGTTGCTCGTCCAATGGCGGGACGCCAACTTCATTAATCTATGAGGGGGGCCTTAGAAGGAGAGGGTATATAAAAGAATAGCATGCAAAAGGGTAGGACCCCGTTGGGTAGCGGCTGTATGTAGTCTTTTAAGAGGTTTGTATGCTACCTTGGGTGCTACGTTTTAGTGGAAAGGCAAAGTGTTATTGTTAATGATTTCAAATTTCTGCTCAGACTTGACAGTAGCGATGCACTGACTGATTTAAAATATTTTTTACCTCGTCTTTCTCCTTAAAAAAAAACTAAGGCGGCTTTTAAACTAAACGTGTGTAGGAAATGCACTGTGACATTTTTGAAGGTTTCATAGTTGTGGCACAAGCTTTTGTGAGCCGGAGAACTCTACCTTCCATAAGGAACAGATCGGCGGAGCAGCTCTTCTTGACAAGGAAATAGGCACAGACAGAGCTTAAAAGAGTTGTTTTTCAGGACTTTATCAACTCACCAGGCAAGCCACTGGGTTATTCAGGGAACACAAAGGCAGAGTCGTATGTGAAGAAGTCGAATGCAGTCTAGGAAAGCTGCCACTGAAATTAGGATGTACCACAATGCTTTTTCGTTTTGTTTCGTTCCTGCCTTTCTGAGAAATAAAAAAAAATGTAGCATGGATGGCCAAATTGCAGCCCTAGGACAGCATATGCTTCCCCAAACTATGGTCACTTTTGACTTCAGAATAGGTGTCATGGTTCTTCTGAGGCCCTTTACCCACTGTGGTAGATAGAAGGGCAGACTAGGACACATACAGGTGACCTGAGTTCAAATCCATGCTTTCTCATGGAAACTCACCAGAGATAGTTTTAGACATGTTATTTTGTGCTAGTATATTGGGCAAAAACAAAAGTTTTAAGCATTTTAAACAAAAACTTGAAAGATAAAAATGTGACACTTTAAAGACTAACTGCTATATTTTAATGTGAGCTTTCATGGACAAATCCATTTCCTCCAAAGGTGGTGGTGGTGGAACTGGTAAAACTGTTCCTTAAATGTCTGGCCCTTGAAAGCCCTGCTGGGGTCTCCATAAGTTATTTTTTACATGATAGCACATAACATAAGGGTACCCTACAAAACACAAAATGCCAATTTTTCCAAATCAGAAATGGGCTTTGATCCGGGGGGGGGGGATTGAATTACACTCCTGGGCAATTACAGAATCAAAAATTTAACTTCCAAGTAGATGGTGGAGTCTCCCAAGAGTCTTTACCCAGTGTGATGTAGTCGTAGACAGACCAGGATGCAGAACACCTGGTTTCAGATCCCCTCTTGACTATGGCAATTCACCAAATGTGATTATGGTGGAACTGTTAAAAACAATGCTTAAAATGTTATCTAATCCTTGAAAGCTCTGTTAGAGTCACTGTAAGTCATTTCCAACTTGACAGCACATAACAAGGATCCCCTGAGACATATATACAAAATACCAATTTTTACAAACCAGGAATAGACTTGAATCATTTCTGGGGAGGGGCTTTGCTTCACATTTTTAGCACTCTGGATGGGTCCTGCCAAAAACCAGGGGTATATCAATCCAAATATCCCTTTCTTGCAGTGTGAAATTCTTCTGTTTTTTCCAACTTGACAGCACATAACAAGAATCCCCTGAGACATATATACAAAATACCAATTTTTACAAACCAGGAATAGACTTGAATCATTTCTGGGGAGGGGCTTTGCTTCACATTTTTAGCACTCTGGATGGGTCCTGCCAAAAACCAGGGGTATATCAATCCAAATATCCCTTTCTTGCAGTGTGAAATTCTTCTGTTCAACTTGGTTCCAGCCACACAGATCCTTTCTCAAGATGCTCAAGATAACAATATTTTTTTACTTAATTATTTTATGTATTTATTTCCATTTCTGTACCACCTGACTCTGAGCAGTTTACTGTATGCAATAAAAACAACACTATATAATAAATACAATTAAATCTTGTAATTAGCAGAAACTAATAAACAAAATGCACAAATTAAACCTATTTGAACATCTCAGGACAAATTTACAACTAATAGAAGGCAACTTTGTATAATTTGATCTTAATTAGTTTACTAAAAAACAGGGGTGGTTCCTGTTGAAACTCTGTAGAAAGCTTGTTCTAGAGCAGTGGTGGCGAACCTATAGCATGTGTGCCACAGCTGGCACACAGCTCTTTCTGGGGCACGTGAGCCATAAGTCACCAGATTACTACTCCCCCACCCCCGCAGCCAAGCCTCAGGAGGCAGCTGCAAACAAGTGGCGGTCCAGGATCCAGAGCAGCTGGCGCTTGTGGTGGATCTAGAGTGGGATCTTGAGTCATCTCTGTGCCCAGGATTCCCCCTTCTGCTAAGTCCAGGATCCAGAGCAGCTGGCGCTAGTGGTGGATCTAGAGTGGGATCTTCAGTCGTCTCTGTGCCCAGGATTCCCCCTTCTGCTACCACTTCCGGTTCCACCGCTGCGGCCCACAGCCTGCTGTTTTTTGGTTTGTTTCCAGTTTGTGCATTCAGGCCCAAAAAGGTTTGCCTCCACTGTCCATGACTGAGAAAGTTCAGTCAGTTCCTCATGTTGGCTTTATTGGCCTCTTTGGGTAGTTATAATTCTTGACATCAAGGACTGCAAGAAGCAGATAGAATGAGTGCCTACTTTGTGGGAAAGACACTGTGCCAAAAAACTCCAGTCCTCTGAAGATGGCGGCCACAGAGACTGGCGAAACGTCAGGAAGAACAACCTTCAGAACACAGCCAAAGAGCCCGAAAAACCCACAACAACCTTGTTTTCTTCTGTTGTCCTGAGTGCTATAAAATGCCCTGCCTTCTTGTGGAGCAAAGAGGATAATTTTAAAGTTCCTTGCATTCACATGCAAGAATGAAACAAGTGAGGATTTATATCCCTAGTTAATACCTTCCCTGGTCACCCAGCAAATTCAGTTTTCACTGTTAGTTTTGTTGATAAGTCATTCTTGTAGTTTGGCACATCTTGTGATTCCATTAGGTCTGCTGATGTCTCACTCTTCTGCATTGATGTGGTTTGGGTTACATAAGGATCCACACTCTGAAGATGACAAAATGTGCACATGGGCCATATCTTTATTAGGATTAGGAATAATTCCACAACAGTGTGCAAGATTTTGAGTTCTGTAGAACTCATCAAGCTAGACCATTAGAAAAAATAAGGTGGGAAGAAGCATGTAAATAAAAATGTGACTAGATGTTAAACTCATGAGATCATAACCAAGGCTAAAGATGGAGAGAGTATGCTTGATCAATCACTGGTAGGGTTTATGGTAAGTGTCAGAATATACATAGCAGGTCCTGCTGGGATGGATATAAAAATAGTGGGTTCCTCTTTCTGGAAACCTGAGGCTGTTTGTAGCTCAAGAAATAGGTTTGCTATTAGTATATACATGTGACACTATAGGCATTGTCAGATGACAACCTTCATCATTTCTGTTCATTGGCCATCAGAGCCGGGACTGATGGGAGTTGTAGAACAACTGGAGGGGGACAGGTTTTCTATCCCATATATGCATTTTTTTAAAAAAATGTTTGACAACGGAAACTTCAGACTGAAGTGGACCCAGAAACTTTTCTTAGGTTTGTAATTTCTCATTGCATCAGTCATGATTGTTGTCCAGTTTCTTCTTTATTCTTGTTATTTATTTCCCCAGCTGCCAAACAAACATGACTGTTTGTTTACACCACAGCAGATTCCACTGGACATTCGGATGTTTCATCCTCTGCTGGTGCCCTGCCGATTACTGAGGCCTACTGTAGAATAGCTTCTGTTTTGAGTAGCTATTGCAGGCCTATATGTTTCTGATCCCAATCATATTAGCAAATGGAATACATCAGAGCAACCTGGAGGTTTCCAAGACTGAGTTATTTCTTCATTTCAGGGAACCAAATTAACAACTTCCTTCACACACTGATGATAGATGTTGTACTTTGCTTACTAAGCACCAGCACAGAGTGAATAGCTGGTGGGGGGGAGGAACATGGAGCATTTTAATTACACAAGCATGTGATTTATGGTTAAATGGGGTGATTTGAAATGTTTACTCAGTCTACTGGACTGAATAAATTAGCAAGGTTGGAGAATGTATGTCCCTCCAGATGGCAGTAGACTGCAGCTTTCATCATCCTTCAACACTGAAGTTGCCCAGGTATTATGGGAACTTCAGGAATGCCGCATGTTCCCCACCCGTGAAGTAGAGTCTTGAGGTTAAACCTAATACAGCAATGTTAAATCTAAAATGAATTTGTTTGTATGAAATTTTCCAAAACATTGACATCCAGTTTGTTTGGATTATAAGTCCCACCATACCCATGTTTACTGGGGAGATTCAGGGAACAGTATCCTGAAAAGGAACTTTTACAATATTGTAATTTCCTGGTCAAAACTATTCCTTCAAAGTTGCTTCCCTTGCAGGTGGAGAAGACATGTGCCTCCATATACAAGTGAGAAAAGAAGCGCAAACTGCTGGGTAGCTCAGTGGTTTACTGTAGGTCTCTAGCTTCAGAGTCAGAGGCTGGGAGTTCAATTCCCCACTGTGCCTCCCTGATAGGAGCTGGACTCAATGATAACAGCAGTCCCCAACCTTTTTCGGTCTGCAGACCGCCTGGGGAAGTCGGGGCACCCCCCGCGCCAGTACGCATGCAAGCGCTCTCTCACTACTTATTTGGGACAAGCATCTGCACAAAAGGCAGCGTAGTGCTTGTCTGGGCGCGTTCGTGCACATGTGCAAATGGCGGTGCAGCACTCACACGGGCATGCTGGAGCACGCGCACAGACGCAAACGGGCTGTGCAGGAGTGAGTGCGTGCGGGGGTTGGGGCGGGAGATCTTTCTCAGCGGCCTGGTCTGTCTCAGGCCACGGACTGGGGGTTTATGACCTCTGATCTATAAGGTCCCTCCCAGCTTTGCAGTTCCAAGACATTACAGATAATTACAATGGAAAAGAAGCTAATGGTTACAATGGATGGGAGGGGGCAGAAATGCCTGCCTAGGAAGTACAGACATATTTCAAGCTCCGATCAAATAACTACTACTTCATATCTTGTTTCACTCTGAATTATTTACACCGATGCTTTTCTTCATCATCTATTTTCCATTTTGGAAATTGTCACATACATTTACAAACTGCTCTCATACTGCCAAAGCTGTATACTGTAATAGGTAAGCTGTATAAAGGGGCCACTCATCTGCTTCCACTCATCTGCTTATTGTAATAGAGAACCAATAACAGACTGTTTTCCTTGACCTTTTAACATTGTGCAGCAGTGGAATATTCCAAGAGAAGCTGATTATTTTGGTGGAATATTACAGAAAGAGGAAATCCAATTTCCCATGATTGGACCCTTCAGATCTCATCTTAGTTCCCTGTTGTATTCTCGTCAATGGAAACTCCATATACTCTACAAGCTCTAGCACGGATGTCCACTCCTCAGAGGCAACTGGGAGAGTTTCCTGCAAGTTTCTTCTCTGGTTGCTGATGCAGCTGAAACAGGTCTCTCAGGCCAGGTCAAAGATGTACGGTTAGCTGCAGTAATGAGACAAATCACAAAGAATACCCAAACTGAATTACTTTGATTCAGGAGGGAGAAAATCCGACAACTACTTCCCATCTGTTGCAATAAAATAAATAGCAATTTTCTGCTGTCTTAAATGGGTGCAACACTTTGTAACGGTATGGCCAGTCCAGTGTCTTCTTATCTACTTTTAACAGTTCATTCCATTTCAGAGAAGGAAACAGAATGAACAGATGGTCTCCCGGGAAGACTATTTGTTTGTTTGTTTAGATTTCTGTACTGCCACATCAGTGTGAATGCTCTCTGGACAGTTCACAATGCATCAAAACACAATTACAATCATACAAACACACATAATACAATAAATACAATAAAGCCCTGCCTGCAGCTGAGTTGATAAAGCATTCATTTAAATGAATTAAAGAAAATTGAACCTCCTATGTTATTAGGAGGTTCAACTTTGTTAAAAGGCAGCTTTATACAGTTTGGTTTTAAATAACTTCCTGAAAACAGAGGGATGATGCGTGACGAACCTGTAGAAAATCTATTCCAGAGGGGAGAGGCCATGACCGAGAAAGCACAGCTCTTAATACTAACTCTTTCTGATCCCTTAAAGTATCACAATTTTTAACATCAAGGATTGTGAAGAGTAAATGGGACAGGTAGCTATTTTGGGGGAGAGATATTCTGACAAATTTCAAGGTCCTAAAATATTGAGGGTTTTATAGGTCATAACCAACATCTTGAACTGGGTATGGATACTAACAGGGAGCCAATGAAGGTGTGCCAAGACTGGGGAATATGTTGTTGTGGGTTTTTCTGGCTCTTTGGCCTTATTCTGAAGGTTGTTCTTCCTAACGTTTCGCCAGTCTCTGTGGCCGGCATCTTCAGAGGACAGCAGCTCTCGGAGAAAGTATGATACTAACATGAAGACTATACATAGTCTTGGCTACACTTAAGACTGGCCATCCGGGCATCAAAACAAAGTCCCCTTCTGAAGGGGGCACATTAGGCCTTGCAATAGCACAAACACTAGATTCCTCTGCTGCATGCCTCAGCTTTATGCTGACTGCGGATGATGGAAATTGTAGTCCAGCATACATCTGAAAGGTGTGAGGTTGGGGAGGGCTGGTGTATGCAACAGAGTACTGTACATATTTTGCCTCCAAATCAACCTCTCTCTCTCTCTCTCTCTCTTAAGTGGACTAGTTTTCAATTGTTTTGATGGGCATCCCTGATTATCGGAGAAGTGTTGGCAAATGTCATCATTTGTGATATGTACTGGTGGCCACCACCTGCCTCACTTGCGTCTGCTTCAAATGGAGAAGCAAGGAAGTGAAATTGCCAGGTTGCTTAACACTAAGGTAATTAAGTTGAATTGTCCTATCAGTCTAAGGAAAACCATGTCTTTAGAGGTCTGATTACACAGATGACTTGCTGAATGGAGAAATGGGACACTAAAGTACTGTAGATATCAACAGGATGGATTGGGGAATCATGTATATTTATGTATATTAAAATGTGTCATGTAATACAGCAGTTAAATGGAACAAGTGCAAACATGAAAAGAAAGCCCCATTTATATAAATTTATTGCCCCACTGTGTATTTCTATGCTAATTAAAATCTAAGTACTGTACACAGATATGTAGAAGAAATAGTTGTTTAGATCCAGTTTAGTGAAATTAATTTAATTAGAGCAGATCCACGGAAACTAATGGGGCAAGTTGTTGTTGTTGTTTGTTGCTTAGTCGTTTAGTCGTGTCCAAGAGTTAGTTATTGCTAAATGGTTTCAGTAGTTCCATGCTAAATGTGAATAAATCTGCATCCAAGCCAATGATTGCTTGATGAAGCGTGGTAGTTAGTCTTACCTGCTCTTGCAAGGAGGGGGGGGGACTCCCCATTATATCAGGTGTAGGCATTGCCACCTTCCACAGTCTAAATTAGGAGGTGACCAAAGAGTCCTGACACACACTTCATTATGGCACCCCAGCAACTTTTTCCAGGGGACATGATATGGTTAGAACTCAAGGGGTTCAAAGGTCAGAGTTGTTGATGGTGGTTTTTTTTATTTTTTGCCTCTAATCAGATACATATAAATGCTGCAAAAAGACACTGTCAGCTTGTCCCTTGTTATTTCTCCCGGTGTACATACTTTCCAAATAAAGGCTGAATATGAACTTTCTCTCACTGCTTGTGTTGCTCGTTTTGCATGTGCATTTTCAAACTTCTGACAACAAAGGAAGAATGTTATTGAATAAAACCTTTCACATCTTCCGGACAAGTAAGATGAAAGTGTGTGAGAGGTACAGTATTCTCTTTCATGTATTGCATGAGTAAATTTTGCCAGAGCTAAGGAGACTTTTTAGAGCTTGGTTCTTGTTCCAATTCTGGGATCTCTCTGCACAAAGCGATCATCTGCCTCAGAGGTTGGAGAGGTGTTGGCTGAGGTGTCACAGCCCCTTCACGGCTGTTTGTGAACGGCCCAGCGCTCCCTGTGAAATCCCTCCACACCCTAAGAAGGGCTCTTTTGGCAAAGAAATGATGTGTCGGAATGGGACAGCCTGTTTAGGGGGCTGTTGGGCATTATTCTTCCAGGGATCTATATATTCCCTATGCACCCTGTTTTCCAACACAATCATTGAGATTTCTGCAGGACTGTTGATGGGGATGATGACAATTTCGGTGACAGTGAAGGGAAGGCGATGCCCAAAAGGATTAAGAGGAAGGACAATAAATCCCAAGAAGCTCCTTAATTCAGCTCTGTATAAATATTCTTTCTGCGTATGAAAAGGTCACACACTCCACATACACATGTACCATGCAATAGGAAGTGGTGACAGATGCTGAGTGACAGGAAACCCTGTGAAACAAGCTATTCTTTCAAAAGCTCATCCTACAATAAATGGGTTGGTCTCCTTGCGATTGGTGCTGGCCTCCCTCCCCCTCTATCTTTAAACATATAAAAATAGATGTGTTAGGAGGAATTACACATTGGTATCAATACATGATCTACATCCAGTTTTCTTTTGCATTGAATAAGCCATACATGGTAAATATGTAAGCTAAACTTTGGGGGGGGGGATTTGAGACAGAAATGAACATACACACTTTTTTTAAAAAATTGATTTTTTTAACTGAACTTTTTCCAAGGATTACACAAACAACAAAATATTGGCACCACCCACTATAACTCAGATAAGAGAGGAAGGGGTTTGTAGTTGTGGTAGGAAATGATAGTGTTGCAACCGTAGCTAAATGTTCAATACTATTTCTCTGCTATCGTTTTCATGGGACTGAGTTTGGCAGATTTTGAGGCGGGGGTGGTGTGTTTGGGGGAGTTGAATCCCGCCTCGTCTCCGATCTATCCATCCATCCATCCATCCACCCTGAAAGGTTTCCTGGGCCTTCTTGCAGCTCGCTTCCGACCACTAGGCGGCCCGCTCTACCATGAGGCAAGGGGGGGAAAAAAGTCTGCTCCCAAAACTTGGGAGGCGACGGCCGAGCCGAGCTATAAACCGTAGACTGGCTCCGTCCGCTCCTTCCTTGATGTTGGAGGCGAAGGAGGCGACAGCTTTCCAGAGAGGCGTCGCCGGTCGGGCGGCTCCGCCACACGCCGTCCAAGCCGACGGGGGGACGCGGAGGAGAACTCGGCCGGGTCCCGCCGCCTGGGTCCGCGTCCTCCAGAGGCGCCGGCGGCATCGGCGGGCCGTCCTCCCTGCGGGGCGGCGTTCACCTGGCCGGCCTCCTCGTGCGCGGCGGACCATGGGCTCCCGGCGTCTTTGATCTCGCCTGGGCTCAGGTACAGTTGTCCACGCGGTCTGCCTCGGCGGAGGGTGCGCTCTCGATGCCTCCACGCGGGTCTGCTCGGAAGGAGGCTGCTCCCGGGCAAGTGGGCAGATAAGAGCCCACGGGAGGGGGGATCCCGAGCAAGAAGCTTCTTTTAAATCAGGGGCGCCCTCTCACCTCCTCCCCTCCCTCCCCCGATCTTTTCCTTCTGTAGCTTGTCATTACTCTTATTATTCTGATTTTGCGCCGAAAGGGTTGCTT